GAGCGTTGTGACACACACCCCGCACATCTCGCGGAGGGGCTAAGAGCATGCCTAGAGATGTGTGCAGATGACAGGCTCATATGGGAGGAACTCAGCTCCAGCACAGCCTCCCATGGTCTCTTGGCTTTGGATAGGGGGCTTTGTGGGGCAGCACAGATCTCTCTCTCTGTTTTCTTTCTTTCTTTCTTTCTTTTTTTTTTTTTTTAAATTGGCCTTCTTGCCCTGCCCTGAAGCAGGATTGCAATATCAGAATGGCATCATGATTTATGCTAGGGAACCTGTGCTGCACTAGACAGGCTGACTAATCTCCCTTTAAATAATCTCCCTTTAAATAGTCTGGAAGCACTGTAGTGAGCTTCTGTTTCAGGAGCCATGAGAACACAGCCACGACTGTGGTCTATATAAATAGCCAGATCCATGCTGGTAAGTAGTGAACAGCACAGTTATTTGTTCTAGGAAGGTTTTCCTATTTTCTTCAAGTCGTTGCATGGATAGCTGCAGTCAAATTCTGGTAACGTTTCTGTATAGTAGCAGTGCTGCTGCTGCCGTGTCTGACTGCTGTACCATCAGTGACAGTGAGGAGCAAGCAGCTACCCTTTGGAGATAGGCTTCTGTCTCCCGTGGCTGTGCATCTGAGCGGCGATGGGGCTGTGGATAGCCGGGGTCTGTACAGCTGGCTTTAGCTAAAACAGCGCTGTTCAGACCCTTTTGATCAGTGCTGTGAGTTCAAAAATCTCACTGATATTAAATAGCATCTAGAAAGTGAAAGCAGGGAATATTTGAGTACTCACTGCCTAGCTATGGATCTGGATAGAGCATAATGTGATGGTCGTGTCTGAGGAGGATGAACTTAGTTTATCTGTGCTGTCCTAACTCAGTAATCAGCACTGGTTTAAAAAAAAAAAAAAAAAAAAAAAGGTTTAACCAAGTCTATGTTAGTTATGCTGGCTAATATAATCTTTTCTCTTGTAATACGGAAGAGTGGAAACTATTCTCCAGGTAGATACATGCACTCTGCAGCTGCATAAGCAATCTTCAGTTTGCCTCCCTCTGGTCCTGAATTATCAAGACAGACTTCAAAGACATAAGGATCTGATACATGGCCAATAGCCACTCCAGCGCTTTCCAAGATTTAGGTAAATAGGAGAATCCTCAACGAAGAGCGCAGCAAGTCTTGCCTCAGCCGAGGTAGGAGGCATTTGAATTTCTTACTCATAGTGTATTGTCATCTTCTCCCTGCCATCCTACCCACTCAATGCGTCAGAGATCTAAGGCTTGATTTTTATTTTTTTTTTCCTTTTTTCCCCTCCCCTCTCTACTGAGCAGAGGATATTCAGGCCTTCAGTTTCTGGTGTATCATGTTAGAAATCCTTTTTCTTTCTTTTTTTTTTTTCTCTCTTCTTTTCTCAGACATAATTCCCCTGAGCCAGTGGGTTTTTATCAGAGTAAATGAGTTCACAGGAGAGGCTTGGTGTAAGAGGACAGAGGGCTGAGTGGGTCCGAGGAGAGGAAGAGAGACTATGTGGGGGCATAGCACAGACTAGTTTCATAGAAGCAGCTTCCCTAAATGCCCCCTCATATTTGCATTCCTAATATTGCTTTTAAGTCACTGTACAGACCACAAGATTTTTGCCTGGCCCGAAGTCTCACCCAATGTGGTGGGACACCATTCAGACCGTTCTTTAATCTTACAAGGGGAGATATGTTCTCTTTCCTTCTCTTTTCATGCTCAGTGCTTACAATCCTGAAATAGGGGTGCAGCTGGGGTCAGGGATTGCCTCAGTGCATTGTTTATACGGGATATTAAGCTCGTATTTGGCAAAGCAGAAGTTCTGTGCTGGGTTTTGGAAACACCATCAACAAAGACAGTAATGGCCTTCTGAGGGAAAATACTATAATGTTTGATTATCAACAGTCTTCTGAATTACAAAGCAAACCCACAAAAATCCCAGCCTGTGAATTTAATTAAAAAGAAAAAACAAACCACAGACAGCTTTTTCATTAACTGTATTTAGTGTACTTACCTTACGTCACTCCAGTAAGATCAACCAGGCTGTTCCTGGGGTAAGTCTGGTCTGTGTTGCCAGCTAGTATGCAACACATGGGTTCTCTTTGGAAAAGCACAAGAAAAAGACAAAGCTGCAAGTAGCAGAAATTATGTTTCAGTGTGGGACAATTTCCACTGAGCAGGGAGGGCAAAAAGTGGTGGGCTCTGCCCCATCACATTTTGCAGGGCTAAGAGTGGATCAAAATGCAATGCATTTTTGTCTTCTTCCCTCTAGCACAATGGCTTCATTTCCTGTCTTGAAGCAAGAGACGTTATTCCAGAATGGTACTTGGAGCTATCGAATTCCAGCCCTGCTCTACCTGCCGCGTTTCAGCATCATCCTGGCATTTGCTGAGGAACGAGAGGACGTGGTGGATGAACATGCCAAGCTAATAGCGATGCGCAGAGGCATATATGACCCAACCATGCATCACGTTCAGGTACCAGTGTGGGGAGAAAATGGGTGAGACTGCCCGCCTGTACTACTCCCCTGTCCCCAAATGAGTTGAATGTGTTTGTCCTCTTGCTGTAGGGAGAGGGCAGCTTCTCCTTCTTCCCACTTACAGGAGATGAATCTGCTTGTAAGTAATGCATGTGTCATTATAACCGCTGGGATTCAACCCCATGACTAGGCAGCTGTTGGGGGGGACTAAAGCGGGGCAGGAGCAGATTATTTCCTGTGGATGGCTTTGACCTATCATCACAGAGCTGGGGAAGCAGAGAGAGATAGGACAAAAGCCCTGTTGCGACAGCAAAGATGTGGAGGAGATGCATAAATGGGGAGTGGCACAGGGACAGGGAGGAGTGAATTAGTAATCGGTGACTATTTTTTTAATTCATCTTCTTAGGACTAATTTCTGGTTTAAAAAACAATTGAGAACAGCTAGTCTCCCCACGCAAAAGAGTGTCGTCTGGTTTGTCTGTGCCAGTGAATTGGCTACCTTATTAATCCACCAGTTATTATTAACAGTTATCTCGCTGGGTGACTGGGGGTGGTGGATACTCTATTTATAATCATTTTTTGCATTTGCAAATGCATTAATGTCTTGGAGGAAAAAAAAAAGTCATTATGTTTTTCTATTCCAATCCTTCATTGGTGACTAGTTGTCTTAGATTATAGACTCTGTAAGAGCTGGAGTCCTCCTAGCAGAAGCAGCCTCTCAAGTGCACCTGCAGTGTCATACCATTCAGGTAACATCCTGTGCAAGCCCCTGTAATTCAGGGCTCAGTTTGCCGTAAACTTAGTCATTTGTGCTCACATGCTAACGTTTCTTAACATGGAAATATTAAATATTCCAAAAAAATTAATACTAGTTGAATAGAAAAGATAAGCCATGACCAAAAAGGGTAATCAGCAAGTCAGGGTAGAAAAGTATAATCTTTTAAATAAATCTAAAAGTAGAATTAGTATAATCTTACTGGAAAATACTGCTTCTTTTACCAAACCAATAACTCTGTGTAGGAATAATTTTCTACTTGTATTGTTAGTGTTAGAATTGTGATTGTGTTATGTGCTATTCATTTAAAGCAAGGCAGGACTTGAAGGGTAGTTATACCTGCTCTGCGACCTATTTTCTGTGTCGGACAATTTGTGGTCCAAATTTCCACACCAGTGTGTGTAAAGCCATGCAGTCATCTCTGGCAAGGTGTCTCAGTGTAGGCTGGGATGCCCATTCACACATGGATCAAAATGGAGAAATAGGAGTCTGAATGAAAAGGAATTTGTCAGCACCCAGGATACTTGAAAAGGGCTCGGTTATCTAGCTGACTTCTGAAGAAGCACTGACACGGCATGGCATCTGTTCCAGTACACTTTTACCATCAGGCATGTCTATGTCTCATATACATATTTGTGAGAATTTCTGAAAATTCAGCTACTGTAGTTTTTTAGACTGTGTCATCAGACACCAGCTGCATTGAGATTCAGAGCTATCAGCTCCTCAGTGAGTAGGAATTAAAAAGTGAAGTGCACGTGGACTGGATCATGCAAATAATTTTCACGTACATTTGGTGATGCCAGTATGTTCTCTTCCCATTTCTTGCTCTGTCCACTAACTTGCTTCTCTTCTGTTCTTCTCATGTTCTTCTGTAACTTTTATCCAGGCATCCTTACACCCTAATGTGGATCTATTTGTAACAGTATGTTTCATTCTTGTCTCCCTTCGCATGGGCCCTGGCAGTGGAATAGCATGGAGACCATTGTCAGTGCGCAGCTGAAGGACCACCGATCTATGAACCCCTGTCCTGTTTACGATGAGGTCTCAGGGAAACTGATCCTGTTCTTCATAGCTGTCCCAGGGAAGATCTCTGAGCAGCATCAGCTCAGAACAAAGATCAACCTGGTACGTCTCTGCTACGTCACTAGCATGGACCAAGGACGTACCTGGAGCACTGCCCAGGATGTCACCGATGGTACCATTAGCACCGAGTACAAGAACTGGGCCACTTTTGCAGTGGGGCCAGGTCATGGATTACAGTTGCTCAACGAGGCCCGGAGCCTTGTGATCCCTGCCTATGCCTATCGTATCTTGGACCCTAAGCAACATCCCACCCCTCACGCCTTCTGTTTCATCAGCTCTGACCACGGGAAGACATGGGAGATGGGGAACTTCGTGGGGGAGGAGAGCGCGGTGGAGTGCCAGGTAGCAGAGGTGCACACCTGTGGCAGAAAGGTCCTCTACTGCAATGCAAGGAGCAGCAGAGGAGCCAGAATCCAGGCTGTCAGCTACAACCATGGGGTGGACTTTGAGGGAGGCCAGCGGGTTGAAATGCTGGTAGAACCTCCCTCTGGATGTCATGGAAGTGTTACTGCCTTCCCACCTCCCTCTGATGTCAGATGCCAAGATAGTTGGTTGCTCTACTCTCATCCTACAGACCCAAAGGGTCGAAGAGATTTAGGAATTTACCTCAACAAAACCCCTTTAAATCCAGCACACTGGACAAAACCAAGCATCCTCTTCAAGGGCCTGTGTGCATATTCAGATCTGCAGTACATGGGGATTGGTCCAGATGGCTCACCCTTGTTCTCCTGCCTCTTTGAGTATGGTACTCACCAACAATGTGAAGAGATAATCTTTGTAATGTTCACTTTGAAGCAAGCCTTTCCATCAGAGTGCTGAGTCTTGAGCCTTTCCATCAGCATCCCTCTGAAAACCACTTTTGCTGATACTTCTTTTCACTGTCACTTCTCATGTTTCAGCAAAAGGGGTTTTTTTCACTCCTTCTGCACCCTCAGTTTGGCATTGGCTTGTGGCGTCTGTAGATTACAAAGTCTATTAAACATACTAAAACTGAACATGTGTTTGGTTTTGTTTTCTGTTGGCTGTTCTCACTTCTCACCTTTCCCTTCGACTGCCATCTTAAACATCACGTGCTCAAAACAAGTGTGACCTTTGTATAGGGCCTCTCACCTTGTGGTCTCTGATAAGCTCGATTAGGGACGTGCGCGCTGACAGTGCAGGGACTGTGTGGGAATAGAGGGCAGCAATTCTATGCTGAGCTGTATTTAGCAAGCTGTGGAGAAAGTGCTGGAGAGGATGCTGGGCTTACTGCCCTATATCTGCAGTTATCTTCAGAAATCTGCTTTGGCTCTGGTTAGGTAGGCTCCTTGCAGTCAGCATAGTGCATGCTGGCAACTCTAGCTTTCAGGGCTTGCTGTCTTCTCATTTCAGCGAGGCCATGGGATGCCATGCTCTTGGGATATTCTCTGCACACTTCTGCAGTGGATTTGGGGTTGCCTTGTCAAGTTCTTCGCCCCGCACCGGGACTTCTGTCTAACTTCTTTCTTCTCATGCTGTATCTTCTTGCTTATTTGCCCTTTTGCTTACAATGCACTAAGAAGCTGCACTTTCTTATGTGTAAGAAAACCACAGCTTCATGTGCTCCAGCTCTTCGCTCTCCCTGGGCAGTGACAGGAGGACCAATGCAGGACACCAGAATCCCCCCTGCCCCATGTTTGGGGACAGGGCAAGTGGCAAAAATGGCATTTTGCCTGTATTGAAACTGCAGGATCAGGACAGGTCTGCAGAGGGAGCTCCCAATTTATAGTCAGGAAGGGAAATACTTGCTGGTCTTTCTAACACAAGCAACTCCACACAGCAACTGCTCTTATTGCTGACAACCCAATGTCTTGCAAGCATGGCTGTTGTTATTACAGAGTATTATTGGCATATGAGGCAGTGTGTCAAACAAATAACGTACCCCACTTCCAGCAAATTGCAAGGCACAGGTGTCAGAGGAAGGGGACCTGACCAAGCCCAGAGCAGCTTGAGAGTGCTCAAGCTGGGAAGGCTTTCCAACATAGACAGATTTTCAGCAGGTTTCTGAAGGAAACAGGCCCAGTTTTGGTGAGAGAGAGAGACTATTCTGAGGCTGCGGTGTGATTTGAAAGCAGACATTATGCATTCAGTAGACAAGGGGAGTGACCAGAAATGAACACGTATCAAGGGATACATGTCAGAGCAGATGGAGCTGGGAAAGCTTTACCCCTGCCTCTGGACAAAATTCTGCTTTATGAACCAGTCTGTGCTTGTTTGCTACGTGCTATATTCTGTGTGCGTGCACGTGTGGAATGGCTCCAAGGAAAACATGTTTGTTTGCTCTGTTGGTGAAGAAAAATACCCGCTTTCCAGAGCGTTCTCAGAACACATCCCCTTTGGGGAACACTAGCAGGTCCTGTAGGATCCTTTGCACTGTTGCTGCTCAGGTCTGTGAGTCTCTGCTTGCTCAGTGTCCCTCCCCCTTGCCTTTTATTGCTGATGACTTTCAGGGGCAGTGGGAGAACGGGCCCTGATTTTTCTCACCCTTTAGGTTTGTTTCAGGGCACATGGAGGCTGCAAGTACCAAGGGAGTGAAGAGATCTCATGGCCTTCACAAATACACCTGTAATTTGCTGAGCCTTTCCCCAGCAACAGGTCAGTAGTAAGCTGGGCTGGAGTAGCACAGAGTGGCTCAGCCAACCAGTACGTTGTGGGTATTACTCATGTGCTCTTTAGATGTAGGCCAGAGTCTAAATACACCTTTGTGCCCAAGAGCCTGTTACTGATGCCTAATGAAGGAATGTTATATTTAGACTCTAGCAAAGCTAACTGCTGTCCTATAGACTTAACTTCCCTCGTCAGGCATACTATGAAATACTTTTGTCTCATGGCATGAAAATGCATAGTTGAGAACTTTTTGATCTGACCAAGCCTGGCAGTGCCCTTGCTGATGCGTTGCACAGGCTGGATATATGTGGGGATTTTGGGTGATCAATGTGCATTTTGAACGATGCCACAGACATTATTTATCCACTGGTCCTGGACAGGCTGGTGAGTTCACAGCTAGTTGGTACAATATGACCTGGACATCTGTTTGCTGCAGACCCAGTTTAGATGAAGCGTTTGTTGCAATATCTGAGAGACAGCTTGGAATAATATCCTAACGTGGGGAAAAATAATGTTTGCTTTGTCCACAGACTGCCAGGACTGCAATTTTTGATTATCCAACATCAAAAACGTGTCCCAGTTCTTTGCCTGCGGCCTCATTCTCTCAAGTAAATTTAAATGAAATACTACTGCTGCAGTTATCTAAAAGCTTCTGTTTAGTCTGGGTTAGATTTATCTTGCAGATCAACCCATTAATCTTTTGTTTTACAAGGTTTGGGTGCTTTGTCCCAACCATGGGATGACAGTGTAGACTATTCGAAGTGTACCCTCTTCCTTCTGAAAACTTTAGGCCTGTGTTGGCTGATCACTGTGCTCCCCCTCTGGATAACTTCTTTAAACTTTTCTTCCTCAGATCTACTCACCAGCCTTCTCTGCCACAGGCACGAATGGAAAGAAAATGAGTGGTATAAGCATCTGCTGCAGAACAGCCTCTTGTCTTTGTGTGGGACAGAAGTTGCTGCTGTCCATTGGGAATCAGGTAGTTCAGGCTACGCAGGCACTTGTGAGCTGACCGCGCGGGGATCAGTCTTTCTCCAGCGCTGCAGAATTCACATGCCAGCGCCATGAGAAGTAAAACAGACACCATTTCCTCTTCAGGCAGTGTCGTGAATGAGCCATTAGGGATCAGAGAGCTGTTTATGTTAGGGGATTGGGATTCACCTTTTGAGCAGCTGAAGCTGTACTGTGCTTTCTTTTAGAACCAAGAAAAGCTCACAGAAACCAGCCTTATTGCCGCAATTGTCACATGTGTTTGATTCCCATTCCCTTGTTTATGTCTCCAAGTCAAGGAGTTGTGTGTGGCTGGACAGGGGATCCACATATTTGTAGGAAATAGCAGCAGCTTGCTAAAAACTTAAATTGGTGGTGGGACAGACAGGAGTTAAGTGTTAAATATACAGCTGATCAGTCTCAGAGGTCTAACCAGGGCTTGTACTTCTCTGTTACCTTGTGTTTACTTGCAGTAGATCAGGAGAAACTCTCCAAACACAGTTTCATTCCAGCAAAACTCATGTTGTGCAGCAGCTCTGTCATCTCTGTGTCAACATATGGGTCCATTGCATGGAGACCATGGTGAGGTCAAGCGGTGGTTTGACATTCAGAGCTTCTATGTTCCCGAGAAGCTGCTGTAAGTATCAGAAATCCCAAGGAGCTGGTACAGGTGAGGCCAGCAGCACACTATGGCCAGGCAGGATGTCAAAGGAGCTGCACAGTCCCTTTGCCATATGCAGACACTCTTCTCAGTGGAGACAATAGGGTTTGTAGCCACTCTGGCTTACACGATCTTACAGCTACTGTCCATGCAGAGCCACTTCATGGCATTCAGCATCTGACTCCGTTTAGGCACCTGAATCCATGGGACCCTGACTCCTAAAGCCCTATGCGGATCTGGGTGAAGCTGAAGAGCAGGTCCAGCTGAGCTAATTTTGATCGATAGAGAGTGCTTGCTCAGCATGGACAGGAAGCCCTGCACATTGCAGTTCTGCCCATTTAGCAGGGTCCTATGCTGGCCACACAATTTTGGATTGCTGGCGCCCACAGTTTAATCTCAGTGGCAGAGATTAAGCTGGACACTGCAGAGCGGATGTCTGGATGACTGAAAGTACCAGGAAGGCTGGCAGGGATGAATGCTGGGCTGTACTGGTTCACTGTCCCTCTCCATAACCACAAATTCTAGTCTCGCCCAATTCAGTCATAGGCTGCTCTCTCCTGCCTTGCTGCCCATGCTGCCTATGGGGGCAGCACTCTGTACGTGATCCAGGTACTGTGGTTCCAGCGCTTCTCGTGGGTCCAGGAGGTGAGGGTTGCGTAGTGCTGGCAGTGTCTGTGCCATTCCTGGGGACCTTCCCTCTCTACTCTGAGTCCCAGACAGAGTCCCAGCTCAGCTCCTGCTTTTAGGTACAGCTCAAACGTCAATATGCAGAAGTGCTGCCTTCAAAGGCAGGGTGGTTGGAGGTACAGGATGGGCAACCAAATTTGCCATGCAGGCAGTGCCCCTGCATGCGATGCCCTTGTTTGCTGCAAATGTGCCCCTCGTTGCTCTGCCTTGGAGATGCAGCACTGAGCATGCTACCTAGCACAGACAAGAGGCAGATGTACAGACAAAGAAAAGGGAAGTGAAAACTCCAGTTCTGCCCTCTCTGACACAGGTTGCCAGACATGGCTTTGCTCCGTCACACCTTCGGAGATTTAGAGTAGGAAAGATCTTTGAATCCATCTCACAGTAGCTGGCAGGGAGCTTCGGTCACAAATCCCCAGAGCAAATCAGCCGCTACGTCTGCTTCTGTGCACGGAAACATGAGCAGGGCTATTTTTTTTTTTTTTTTTCCAGTTCTTCAAAGTTCTCTCCTCACACCTAGATAGATGTGAGGCAGGAATGGGGCAGTCAATGCTAAATATCCATTAGTACAGTGTGTTTCGGATCAGTCTGGGATTTATTTATTCCCCATGGACACCTGTAGCGGGTAGGACAGACAGACAGGAAAAAGATGGAAACTCAAAGGGTCTGGCAAGAAATTGTAAATGAGATGGCAGGCCACCGAAGCCTAGGGGACTGAATTATTGGGGGACCAGAAGGGATCCCCAGCTGGGACTTCTTGATACAGAGTATTAGGAGATGAAGGGGGAGGGAAAGGCAGGGAACATGGGCTCGCTAGTCGCTTCAGCTGCAGCATGAGGAGGGAGAGTGGGGGCTGCAGGAACATGTCACGCTCACTCTCTGAGCTGTTTGAGTTGAGGAAGTTGTCCGCGGCTGAGTTTCCTTTCCCTCTCTGTATTATTGAAACAGGAAGCTGGTGAGCTGAAGCTGCCTGATTGTTACACACAGACACACAGGCAGCTCTGGCAGCTCCTGTATTGGCATTCGGGTTTCCTCCAGCTCCAGCGATGGATCAGTGCTGGTACCACGGCAACATCACTCGCTCCAGAGCCGAAGACCTGCTCTCCAAAGTAGGCAAGGATGGCAGTTTCCTTGTGCGGGCCAGTGAATCAATTGCTTCAGCATATGCGCTCTGCGTGCTGTAAGTACAGCTTTCAACCTCGCGCTTCATGCTGACACTTTTGTCCCTGTTCATGCAGGGTGTTACCCCCTGCACTCTCTCCAGCACAAAGGCAAACAGCCACGGTACCTGCTGGGAAGGTGCAGCCCACACCAGAGCGTGGCTGGTCTCACCTGACTGGGCCACAGCGTAGGGAAGGGTTGGGAGCAGAGCCAGGCTGAACAAACCCATGTTCTTTTACTGCTGTGCTGCTCATGCTACTCCTGCCCCTGATTCAAAAGGAAAGAATAACCAAAGATATTGTGGCTGTGCTCTGAGAGAAAATAACCTCTTGACCTCTTTGAGCCTGTTAACAACTTGGGTCAGGTTTAACATTTAACAACTCAAGTACTGAGCTTGGTACCCTCCCAGGGACTTCTCTTGTTCTGATTCAGTATGCATTTGACCCACCTGCTTGTACAATGCCGCATCCCATTCAGCAAAAGGCTTGAAATAATTCCTGGAGCTGTGTGTGGTACAGCACAGCGGTGATTCTACCTGCATCATTAATGTGGCTCACAGGGTAAATATTTCATGTGGGAAATAGGGAGGGAAGTGCTGGATGCCCTGACCCCCTGTTCTGGGTTGGAGCTGGGGAACAGAGTGCAGGGCCTCCTGCCCTGGGTTTGTGAGGGGCAGGTGTTACTCCTGGAGGCAGGAGTGCGGGGGCAAGAGGAGGTTGAAGTCAGTAGATGAAGTCTGAAGCATTTGACTTTGCATTACAGAGAGGTAAGACAGTTGCTCTCTGCTTAGGAGAGATCAAGAGAGCCTCTGTGGAACCCTGTTCTGCCTGCCAGATCCTCTTTGCTGCCATTGTGCAGCAGATTAATAAAACTTATTTCATCCTTACCCCACATAAAATTACAGGCAGGTTTGTCAGTGTAGTTTCTTTCTCAAAGTCTATCTCTTGCAGTGGTAAAGGTGGTGGTGGTGCTGTTTATAACTATGGTCTAACTGCTTGTCTCTGAGGTCAGGGTTCTGGTGACAACACAGTCTGCTGCAGAGGATTCATCTGCAGAAAAGCATGAGGCTGGGTAACTGCCCTGTAAGCGTGGGTGTTGGACTGTCAGAGATCGGTGGCTGGGTAATGGGGTTGTTCACAAAGCGCAGAGAGCCTCTGCGCCCGCCTGTTAAGATGTTTGTAATATCACGGGGAAGAGTTTTGTCTTTCTGGAGGGACCAGAGCAAGGAAGGGTGGCTGCAGATGAACAGCTAGGACAAGCAGGAGGAAGGAGGGGCAATCATGTAGCATGGGCTGAGGGCCCCAGTTGCAAGTCAGGGAACATTTTACTAGAATAGACTGTTGCTTCCATTGAGTGTTTTTAGTATGACCCCTTTGATTTGCCTTGTAACCAGTATGTACACAAAATATTTTTACAGAGTGATGGTGGGGATTATAGAAAGGGAAGGTGCTGTAAAAATGTCTACTAATGTGCATTTGCATAAGTTTTTCCATTGTAAATGTTTACGCAGCCAACTTTGAAAGCCTTTTGTGACTTGAGAGACGTGGGATCAGGAAATAGAAACAATATCATGACCAGAATTTTCTGAACCGGGAGCCAAAGGTTATGTTCTTAAATCCATTCTGAGATGGCTAACATGAATGGCTTGATTAAAGAAACGGGGAGCACCCAGTCTTGTCAGCCAAGAGCAGCTGGATCTGTGGTGCAAAGGGCTGGCGTTAATTACAGTCTGAGAAATGTCACACAAACTTCTGTCGAAGTACCTAATAAGCCTTCGGCTTATGCTGGTTTGCAGTTACCTTGTGAAGAGAAAGGGTTAAAGGTGGTGCATAAGTCTTTCCTTCTGAATGTCATCTTGACAAAATGGGCAGCTTTGCTGAAGCTGAAAACTTCCTCAGAGATGTATCAGTTTCAGCTGTGTTATTGACTGGAAGGTGTTTGAAGTTTGAGCTCTTCAGTTACTTCTGTTTAAAAAATAGAGAGGCTGGAGGCAAAGCATGAGAGGGGAATTGAAAGCCTGACTGCAAAAGGTTTTCACAAAAAGAGAATTATGTTGAAAGTGAGAAAGTGTCAACTGTGTTTAGATAAGGAAAACAAAAACCCATGAAATTTGCTTGGAAAAAGAAGCATCATGTTCTACAAAGCTAATGTTTATTGGGCAGATCAGTCAAAATCCAGCAAAAGCACTTATTATTAAATCATAGAATGAAATAGTGATTTTATTGAAGAGCTGCTTTAGGAAAAAAGGGTTTGTATAAATACAGACAAGTAAGGGAGGTGTATTTGCAGGGCCTTTTAAGAGTGCCTCCCCTCCGTTTCCGAAACTTAGAGCAGCAGCATTTAACTTAGCAGAGAGCTGCAACAGTCAGCAAACGCAGAGGGAATGCTCCTCCCCTGCACTGCTGTCCTCTGCTCTACTGGTCACACTGCCCCATAAAAGGCAAGAAGCAAAGCTATTTTCCTCCTCCTTTCTCTGTGCCTGGATCCTTTGATCTGCCAGTTTATTGACAAGAAATGGGTTCCTTAACTTACCTGGAGAGGACCGCCTGGATCCTCAAATCAAAAAAAACCTGTTTAGTGTTCACAGCATGCTGTACCTGAACTGGTATCATTCCTCCAGGGGATCTCCTGGTGGTGGTTTGTGTGTGAATGGCTGCAGGATTAACAGCACTTCTGGAGATGACCCTCAAAGCCTAGCTGCAGCTTTGGGATCCCTCTCTGAGATGCCATTTCCAACCCCCTGTGGGGATGACCTCTCTCATGGTGCACTTAGCGCCATGCTTAGCATGGCAGTCCTGTTCAGGCTTTCCAGGTGCTCCCAGTATGCACATCATCACCTGTGCATAAAAATGTGTACAGCAGAAGAGGAAAGAGAAAATACAAGCTGTGTCCCCTTTCCTGCGCTGGGTGGTTGAGAGGACAGAGAGATGACAAAGTACTTGGGGACGTGTTTAAGCTGAGGCTGATGTTATATTTACCCCTGCCATAGACTGCCTGAACAGTGGTTGAGCAATTCTCAACTCAACCCAATTTTTAGGGAGGACCTGGAATGTGACAGTCATTAGGACCACATAACTTGACAGTCAGGATGCTGAGGAGAGAAAGCCCAAGGGTAGAAATTGAGTGAGTCCCAGTCTTCTCCATCCACATGCACTAAATTAGAGGACTGCTAAAGAGGATTCCTGCTTTTGATCCTAGGAAGTGCTCCTCCTTGCTCCTGTCTTGCCCAACAGCCTTTCTTCCCTTGTTTTTCCAGTGATCTTACCTGTCCTCAGCTTAAACTTCTTTACAAGTATTATGACAGCAGCCTCGAAAGGCCTGTGTGATGGGGCACTTTCTGTGAAGGTAACAAGGGGGGTCTTCTTGTGACGCAAGAGCCATTGAGCTGGTTCGTTTATCAGTTTCATAATCTCCACACACAAATTTTCTCTCATCAGCTGCATGAGCAGTTCTGCTTAGCCCTGTTTGCATATCAGCAGGAGGAAATTGTGTAAGAGAACTGCATTGACAGATAAAAACAAAACCCATACCCTTCCTTGGGGCATCTGGCGTTGATTGCCCTGGGCTTGGTGAAATTGGCAGTGTTGTGGCAATCCAAAGCAGTTGGGGATCATGTCTGTGACTTCCAGCTCTGTACCAGATCCTCAGATGTGTGAATGAATAGGTGCCGGTGAAAAGGTCTTACATTGTTTGGTGAAGTGGTACTGAGCTCTGGGAGCAGTTCTAATTCTTCTGTGTCCTTTGTATGAATGCCATCAAAAGTTACAGGTTCATGTGGATACATGACAAAATCCTCCAAACATGCTGGAAAAACTCAGCTATGATTTATGAGTAATTTCTTTTCATTTCCAATTGCTCTTTGTGACTTCTTGTATAAGGCTGCTTAAAATCCTGGTGATCTCTTTTTCTCTCTCCTGCATGGAGTGATTCTGAAAGGCATATGATTAATAGACTCACAGCATAATTGTAAAAGAGATTAGGATGTTTTATTGATCTGCCTGATCTCCCCAGCTGGGGGGCTGACCTCAGCCCACGTTTCATGATGATTCCACAGATAATGCAGTGTTTCTGTTACAGCCAAGGAAGCTCCAAGAGTGGATTCTGGTTTTCCCTTTGAGAGGAAGAGGTTGAAACCAGCATCATTTGGCTTAAAGCCATATTGTATGTTTTAAACAGAGTGCTTTCTAAGTGACTTCACAGATTTGATCAATCTGTTGTTCACTTGGGAGAAAGGTAAAAATGTATTTTTAGTCAACACTTCTTGGGCAAGCTCCACAAAGCTCAGCAGCTGTTGAGGAAGATCATGCTTGCCACGTTACAGCACTGCTCAGGCTTCCCTTGGGCTCTTGTGCATTAACGTGGCCCTCCACCGGGCAAAAGACTCCTCCATCCCCCCTTAAATATGAATCAAATTGAATTTAACTGGGACAAAATGTTTGTTATGGCTGATCTACAGATGCACATGTGCAGTGTGCGTCCGCACCAGGATAGCAAGATGGATTTTCATTTAGGCTGTTGTTTAGGATTTGTGCAGGAAAATGTTCCTAGCAATCAGCTGTCTTACTGTGATTTAGCTGAAATCTATTATTTGTTTTTTCCAATACAAGTCGATGCACATACTAGCCCTTCAATTTACTCATTCATTGCTGATTTTGGCCCTGTCTTTTTTGGATTTCTGCTTTTTCATTCCTTCCTGAGACGCCCACTCTACTGACAGCTAGAGCCATTTGGTGTTTTCTTTATTTCCGGCCAGAAGAAGAGTTGAATAACTCACTCTGAGGCTGATGCTGATATCACTTTCTGCAGTGACATCTGCAAACATGTTTCAGTGACCAGGAACACTTCAGGTTTGTGTTAGTTCACAGTCTCCAGGGAAAGAAAGAAAGAGAAATGTTTAAAACTCTTGTGCATGAACCCTATGTGTCTCGGGATCTTCCAACACCTTTTTTCACGAGGAGGGTTGCCACAGTGCAATTCCCTTCTGGAGAAGGTCTAATCATATCTCCTCTGATCTGTTCCAGGTACCGGAATTGTGTTTATACCTACCGAATTCTGCCCGATAAAGAAAAAAAGCTAATTGTCCAGGTAAGTCATGCTGTGTACCATTCGGTCCCACAAAGATGCACCTAACACCACTTGCTACTTTTTTTCAAAGTAGTTCTAACACTGAGAGAAAAAGGATATAAGGAGTTAAACTAATGCCCACAGTGCTGGCCGTGTCTCTACTCCACTGCTATGGAGATTTTAGTCTCCAGTCTGCTGCTATGGCTGTCTGCACACTCTTCAACATGTGTGGCTTCAATTCAGTGACGCTGCCATGTTTTATATAACTGAGAACCTCAGCCTAAGAAATACCTTTTCCTGTGAAGCCAGTTTCTTATCAGTACATTGTGGATCTTTTCAATCCAAAATTGCAGCGCAATTTACCTGCACACAGAGAATGTAAATCAAGTTGTGGTCTCAGAATCCAGAAAGTACCAGGACTGAAGGCAGGAGTTTCAGATTTTCTGTTTATTCCTATACTGCTCTAAGATCCTGAACAAGCCATTTCCCCTTCCTGTACCACCTCTCAGCCCTTGTTTTCTCAATATAGATAATGAAACTTGGGGTGTGGAGGGAGGCATGGTCTCTTACAGCCCTAGGAAGCGGGTATGGGTTTACTAGGGGCAGTGAGGGCTGTTGCCTACCCATCCTCAGCACAGCCATGCTGCATGGGCGTTCCCTGGAAAATGAAAAGGAAATGCCCATGCTACCACGTGCCCCAGTTTGTCCTGCTGTTCAGACTGGGTCTACATTCATACCTTCCTATTTCAGATGACAATTAGCTTCCCACTCTAGAAATACCTATTTCTACCAACTCCATGTGCACCTCGCATGGCTCACATGCAGCGTGTTACTTAGGTATTTCCTGATGTGTTTCAGGGGCATCGGTTTTTCTTTGAGATCTGTACCAAAGGGGCAGCATATCTGAAACTAAAGCGATCAGGTTAGTGAGGACAGTTGAGTGCTGGCAGCTTGCTTTCAGCTGCGGGCTGTTGATAAGAATTGTGGATTGTGTGTCCTGGGTGCGCACACCCAGCCTGGCTCCCTCAAGAACCGCTTTTGGGTGGCTCTGACTTTTCTTAGGAGCCCCACTCAGATGCAGCTTTGCACAAACACAGCTGGATTGCCACCAAGGTCAATTCCAGGCCCTTGATGCTGTGCTCCAGAGGAATATGTGCCCAGGGCCAGCCATCAGCATCAGCGCAGTGTCCCAGTCGGCCTCACCAGCTTCAGCTGGTTTCCCTGGAGCTGTTGAGATATCTCTGCCTCGCTTGCCACAGGACCTCTGTTTCTCA